GGACGGGCGGCGGAGCCCCGGCGGGTACGGGCGGGGGCCGCAGGCGGCGCGGCGCGGCGAAGCCTCCGCACTTACCCTGTCACAACAGGCGCCATCTTCCACAAACTCTCGCCAAAACTCCTAGTCTCGCGAGAGCGCGGCGGCCCGGCCAGAGAGCGCGCGTGCGTGGGCCCATAGAGCGCACACGCGGAGCGCGCGCCACCCCCTCACGCGCCGGGCTCTCCCGTCCGTCAGACACAACAGCGGCAGGCGTGGGAACCTGCGTGAGTCTCGCGAGAACGCCGGCGCCGGAGGGAAGAGGGGACTGTGCGTCTCGCGAGAGGAGCGCGAGGGGAATTCCCTGTCGGCTGTGGAGTCTTAGCTTGGAAACTTCCTTGGGAGCGGGACAAACCATCTTGAGCTGGGGGGTGGTCTGCGCAGAGCGTGGGGGGCGCGTCCATTCGCCTCTCGGAGCACACAGTGGGCGGGGCCGGGCCGTTATTTCCTGTGGTGGGCGCGTGGGACCGCGTCTGACCCCACGGACTACCCGCCAAGCCTGGGGCAGGCGTGCCCGTCTGCAGCGCAGAGGGCGAAGGCACCCAGCAGGGAGAGCCCAGGTGCCAGCATCCGCAGGCCAGCGGGTTTGCCCTCGAATGGTTGGCGACTGCCACGGGCACGTGGCCCCCAGGTCCGAGATGAGCGGGTTTCCGGATGTGGCCGCTGGGAAAGGAGGAACAGGTGGGAAATGAGGCCGTGGTAAAAGGGAAGGCTGCTCGGCTAAAAAAAAAAGCAAACCCAAGAAGTGATGTAAAAATAAAACTGGTCTTAGGACAGCCTCTGTGAAGGCCTCGTATGGCTCCTGCCCCTTCCTGTAGTTTAACGTGGTGGAAAAACATACCATTCAAGCTGTTTTTTTTGCAATGGAGTTTTAAAGTCCATCGAGCCACTGAGCGAGGATGAACTCGCACGTAAAGCCCCCAGTTTTCAAGCAAAGTGGAAAAGCAGCTTTAGATATCTGGGCCCTCTGTTGTAGGTGAAGAAAGAAGAACCCTCTTCCATTTGTTGAGTTCCATTCCTGGTTGAGAAACACTCAACAGTTGCAAAGAGGCTTTTCTTTTTCCAATCTATCAGCCAATACATAGGAAACACAAGAGGTTGAACTCTACTTCCAAGATCTTGATGCACATGTCGATCCAAAATAATTCCGTTCACTATCTAAATAGAATGCTTAGTTTGTTTCATAAGTCAACTTAAAATTTAGTTAAAAATGTATGGACTCAGTGAGGGGGCTGGACTCGATTACCTTCTGAGGTCCCTTCCAGCCCTAATGTCTGAACCTGTGAAACTTTTTTTCTTCTGTGTCTGTCACACTTCAGGTATATTTATTTAACCAATAAAAACAATTATAAAATGCTATTCCTCTGCATTTTATTCCAAATTCTATCCAAATTGCCAGTCGTCAATATTTAGATTTTAAAAGACCTCCACCCTTCATTGTTTCCTAACATAAAATAATGGACCAAATGAATATGAATAGCTACTAAACTAGATAATTGTTTATGTGTAAAGATAATGGATCCTTTCAGTTAGCAAAAATACAGACATAATTTAGTGTAAAAGGTATATCACGACAAAAATCACCAAGAATTAACCTTTCCTTAGGAAATTAAGGAGTACAAATGCAAAGAGGACTGAAATTATCATGTTTCTTGATTCAAATCATGATAAAAACCATGATTTGAAACAATCCATCCTGTTACAACTGCTTTTCAACCAAATCTGTTACCTATGATCTATAGATGTGTTTGAAGCTGCAGGCTCTGCTAAGGATGTTAGAGCTTAGTGCAGGGGCGGGCAATTATATCAACTGGAGGGCCACTTAATGAGTTTCAGTGAGCTGTTGAGGGCCGCACACACAAAATCTTGTAGACAGTATCATTTTAACAAATTGTAGATAAAAAAAATCATGTACTAAAAATCAAACATTACTATAACATATTTTAATTTTATTTAAAAAAAACCCCCCACAATTTTTGTCCTGACTTGGTTTTTTTGAGTAGTGTATATAGAGGTGATTGCATAACAGCTCAAAATAAAGTCTTACTCTAGTATATTGGGGGGGGACGAGGTGTGAATGGAAGGTGTGGGGTGGGCATATTGTAGGGGAGAGAGGAGGCTGCCTGAGTGCTAGATTCCAGGAGCCGGCCTGGGAAAGGAGGGATGGGACAGGGGAGCATGAAGCAAAGCTTTCCCAGACGGTATGGCCTGCAGCTGCCCCCACAATACTGCATAGGTCCGAGCCCCTGCCTGCTCCCACGCAGGGCAGCCCACACCTGCTTACCACAGCCCAGGTACCAGCCAGCATGCACAGCTTGCTGGTGAGTGGTGTTCATCTACCCCCGCACCTCCAGTAGCTGCTCCTCTTCCTGCTCATGGCTACTCTGGGCAGGAGGGAAACTGCAACTAGGTGGCTCCAGCTCCTCCCAGATGTCTTCCACCCACTCAGCTGCCTGCAGGTGGCTGCTTATCATGCAGGTAGGCAGGCAGAGGTAGGTAGGCAGGCAGAATGGGTGGAAGGCAGCCTGGAGCTAGAGCTAGGGCAAGAGCCGCCTGACCTGGAGCAGCACAGCAGGGGCAGGAAGAGGAGAAGCCACTGGAGCTGGCAGCAGTCAAACACCACCTGCCAGAAAGCTGCATGTTCTGGCCAGGCCCGGCAAGCATAGGTGGGACTCCAGTGCTGGCTGTTCCTGGCAGGGCTCAACCCCATGTGGAGTATTGTGGAAGCAGCCACAGGCGGGATCTAATCCGTGGGCACCCGCCATGGGCCATACTTTGCCAACCCTGGCTTACTGTGTCACATGCATCCCACATTCAAGATTTTGAAGATATTTGGGGGTTTTTGATGTCCATAGAAATCTGTCTTTGACCTAGAACATTTTCTCAAATTGTGGACTTAATGAGATGGAGTGTTCAAAAGTCATTGTGTAACAAGATAGATAAATCCCAACAAGTTGAACATAAGACCTTGCTTCACTCAATAAAATGATCTTAAGAGTTAACTTTTTGGACAATCTGGAAAGAGTAGAGGTTGGATGAGAATGCATGAGAAGAGATATCAGTATCCAAAATCTTAAAATATTTGGATATAGACTATCATTTTGACATTAAGAGAAAGAGACACAACTTTCCTTTGTGGTTCAGAACAGGTATTTTAGACCTGAAAAGGTCATTTGCATAACAAAATACAAAGTTGACCTTTCAAATTCAAGGCAGGTGTCTATTAGATACCTATGTTTAAAAAAACTAAGATTATGGTGCTTAAAGCTCAGTAGTAGCTCCCATTTAGCTTGTCGTCTTCGTCAATCTAGGTTCAAACTCAAGTCTAACATTAATGAAAATAATCCCAATTTGTCAGAAGGAGATTATTTAGAGTTACTTAATTCTTACTAAATCTGCTGGCTCCCATACTTATAAAAGACTGAATTTTCCATCATGTCCATGACTCAGTTTTTGCTCTGTTTTTATACTTACTCTCCACTTCTAATGCTAACTTAATGCAAGGAATAAAATCTTGCCAGACAAACTGTAGTGAACTCATGCTTTGGAACTACAGCAAACAACTCAGTTATAATTCAGGAGACTCTTCTCCTATCATGAGTTCCCCCTCTTCATTAATCATAAAAGGATTTTGATTGGTTCCTTTATCGGCACACTCTTCATCTGAAACACAGGGTATACTGCAGATCCTCTGTATTGTTTGTGAAACAGTAACTCATAATACTTTTGAAAAATTTCTTCTTGAAAACATCTTCTTTTCCCCTCCAAATTGAAGAATGATCTCATCTCATGCTAGTTCCGTCCCATTAAGAATGGTTTCTGGATTCTTGCCATCAACTGTCTCTAGATGGTCATTTTATGGGGCCCCTCTTTTGTGCGTTTTAAATTAAACTGGAAAATCTAAAAATATAGTGCACAATAATATTTAGTGTCTAGACTTCTTTTAATATGTTACAAATAAGACATTTTGATTAATAAAAAAATTAATTGGATCTCAGAGAAGGCACTTTGTTTTCAATAATTAATAAATAGTACAGTAGTTTAAGAATATGCAACAATGTTTTCTATCACTGATTCAGGTGTACTTAACAAAAAGACACTACTGAAGCATTTTTTTAATCATAAACCTTATGTAGTAGTACAAAAGGTCAGGCTCTTGATTTAAGTCAGGAATACTGTCAAAATCAGAGTTGTTGGTCTAAAATTGGTACTTTCTAGGGGAAAAATTATGGCAAAAGCTCAGACAATTTTTTGTAATGATCACTGTTTATATGTATGACATCTTTTGCTAAAGGGCCCAACCTCAAAAAAGTACAACATATTCGCTTTTTACTGACTTAACTTCAGCACCTCCTTGGATTGAGGTCTAAATTCTGATCGCTGGTAGTGGACAATGCTAGATTTGAGTAATGACCAATTTTAAATACAAGCGTCAGACAATAATTATATGGATTTATTTGTTACGTAAGTCGGTGTTTTCAACCTCCTGTGCGAAGTGACTTAAGGCCCATTACAGCCACTGCTGTAACAATGGAAAAGTTCTAAATCTAGCCTACATTTTTAAATCTGTCTAGTGATATTGGGGATTTTTAAAGGGAACTGATTTCTAAACAATTTTACCTTTATAGATGTTTCCAGTTAGAAATAAATAAAAAAGCTAGTTACTTGCAACAATGGAACACTAAATAAACTTCAATACATTTAATCTAGTTTGCCCACCCTTTTTGGGGCTAAGTACAAATAGTCAAAAAGCCCAAGGCTGAATTGATTTAGTCTTTGCAAGTTAGTGCAAGCTGCAAAGATTGTACCAATAAGCAAATGAACTTCACTTTTGATTCAGAAAATGCAGCCACATGCCTGCAGTGGCTCAACCCAGAAGCTGGGGAGTGCTAGAGCACAGCTCTCTGGTACACAGCCAGCATGGGCTGTGTGTTTGCTTCCTTTTCCTGCTGCCCCTGGGTGGTGGCAGTGAGCCAGCCCTCACTGCTCCAGATAGGGAGCAGAGGGGTGGGCCAGCCCTGATCTCTGGAGCAGACAGCACCGCCTAGCCCAGGGCTGCAAGATGCTGGGAGACTCTGATTTAACTTGAACCAGGAAGGGGTATGGGGCAGAAGTTTCATAAACCAGTGTCACAGAGCACTTAGGTGCCCTGCTCCTTTAAAGAGTGGAAACTGCTAGGGAAAGAGCCCTAGCAGTGAGTGGGGAGCCCCAGCTGCTGGTTACCAGGGCAACCAGCGTGAGCTAGTGGCCCACAC